AAGGACAACGGAGATATCAACAAGCTGAAGATGGAAAATGTGGAGAGACCCGTTGACCTTCTGGTATCGGGTCCCCCCTGCCCACCATGGGCAGGGCAGGGGAAACACCATGGTCAAAGTGACATTCGAGCTGAAGTATTCTTGACGGTTGTACGCTTGATGATTTCTTTGATCAAATCTGGAGATCTCTTCGCCGCAGTCATCGAGAATGTGAAGGGCATTTGCCAGAAGATTAAAGGACTGGAGGTATCTTTCATGGATCAGCTGCTGGAGGCTCTCAACAAAGAAGCCGATGAATTCAGTTGGGACACTGTGATTTTGCACGCCAAAGACTACATGTTGGCTCAGACACTGGTTTTGGCGAGAAAGGTTTGCGAGAGTTTCTGTGCCCTGGTCTTCCAGCTGTGGACAGGTCTTCTTTGACCAAGGTCATGAGGCAGAACCTGATGGACGCTGAAAAAAAGCTCCAGCAAGCCGTCGCTGACGGTGAATACGGCAAATCTGATTTGATCGTCTTCCCGCTGGACAGGGCCGATGGAAAAGCCTACAAGCGCAGCTACAGTGTCAACATGGCGCCAACTCTGACCACGAACAACACCTATTTGTTTGTGACGAGCCTGGATTTCAAGAAGCGTGACGGCCAGAGGGAGTTTTTCAGGTTTCTCCAACCTGGTGAAAGGATGAACCTTCAAGGATTCGCAGGATCCACCTTGGTTGAAAGCTCCGAGGCACTGAGGGTAAAGGCCAGTGGAAACGCCTACCCTACCCGATCCTCCAGGAACTGCAGCCTCACATCACAGGCCAGCTCAAGGTGAAAGGCAGTCTCTTGGATGAGTCAGCCACCAAAGCTTGCGCGAACTTTGACAAGTTCATGGCCACTTGTTCCGCAGCAGCTGCCAAAGCCGCCAAGGGAAGAGCAAAACAGCAGAAGAAAAAGGGTGGCGCTAAGGCTTTTCGACCGAAAGCCAAACCGCTGGCCAAGCGCAAAGCCAAAGCGAAGGCGCAAGCAAAGCAGAAGGGAGCGAGGGGAGGTAAGGTGAAAAAGACCATCAAGAAGGTGCAACGAAAGTCCACCGGCCACTACAAGTACCGGTTTTTGTCGTCCTCTAGCTCCTGATTCGAATGGAGGACCATGATGGACCATGCACTTGGTGTAGGCTCGCCGCACCAGTTTTGATTCGGTCCGACGCTGGACTTCCGACGTCCGAGAGGAAAAAAGGTGAATTTCTTAGCCATCACCCTGATAGCACCGTGTGTTTTCTGGTTGGCCATAGCTTCACTGATTCTAAACGATTTTTTGGAAAGCGATTTTGGGATACCGTCTCAACAAACGATATTTCTTTGCGACGCTGTCTCATTGTGGCTCAACTATATGTGGGAAGTCTCAAGGCTCGCCTGGCTTCCATTCCCAAGAGGTGAATCCCTTGGCTTGTCCGACAAGATTCGCCATGGCGGCCCAACGGTTGAAAGACATGTTGGGATTTCTCACGGCTCTGGAGAAGTCTGGTTTCAATCCAGCTGCTCATGATGGAGTCAAAGACACCCAGCAAAAAATGTTGCATGGGTGTTTGTTGGACCTGCAGCAAGCCCCGAGCATCGCAATTCAGGAAGCCACACAGATGCTACAAGATGTGCAGTCTGCCAGCATTCCTGATTGGATGAAGGAGGAGATCATCAAAGGCGTGCAGGAAAAGGTTTCAAGCACCGCTGAAGAACAGAACGGCGGGGCCAAGCGTGGAAAAAACCTGACGCAGAAACACTTGCACCTCCAGAACTATATGACTGAGAGCGATTGGAAGACCTTGCGAAGCAGCTCGCACAGCCTTTCTACTAAGGTGCAATGTCTTTGCAGGAGGTTTGGCTTGCTGAAGCTAACCTGCCCATCAGAGGGCACCAGTGTCCTAGCTGTCTCGCTTTTGTCGCTGGCTTCGCACCAAGGTCCACCAGAAGAGCTGCTGGTTGATGGCTTCAAGACTTTCTCACTCCTTGCAGATTTCAAGTGCTCAGTCAAGAGCTTTACCAAGAAGATGAAACGGAGTGATCTGCTGGTTTACCCAGCGAATCCCCAAGACATGCCAGAGGCGCTTTTTAAAGCAGCGTACGCCCCTGGCGAACCACCTGTTGAGTGCCCCATGGATTGCGGCGCGCTTGCGGTGTTGTGCGAGGACTTGCCAGCTAGAAAGAGCAATGTGAAGGTTTCAGGAGCACGAGTACGCGCCAGCTTTCGCCGAGATGATCCCATCACTGGCATGCTGGGAGCACAAAATCTTTTGGAACAACTTGCCAGCTTGATGAATGGACAGCCCCGTCAACTACCCTTGACCATGCTGGGGCCGAGGAAAAGAAACCTATTGGCCATTGGCAATGAAGGTGGCCAAGACCCGGGCCAAGAGCCTGCAGCAAAGGGTAGCCCTACTCCAGAGCCATCCCCAGCAAGAACGCCCTTGGCCCTGCCAGCTCCACCAACTGAGCAAAAGCCAGTGGCCGAGGTCAAGGATGTGGATGAAATGGCTGAGCTCCTCACCCAACAGCTTACCCACAACAAAAGCAATGCTGCAAAACGACCTTCAGAGCATGCTGAAGAAGAACCCAACAAAGCTCCTAAGACCGAGAAACCTAAAGCAAAAGGAAAGGCAAAGGCCGACAAAAAGAAAAAGGGAAACAATGCCGAGAAGGGACCCAAAACGAAGGGGAAGGAAGCGTTGGGGTTTCCAGGCACCGACCCTCAAGCTCCAATCCACCATGGGGGGTGGACCATCTACATTTGCCCTAAGTCGTCCAACTTCCGCGTCAAGAAGGATGGCGACAAGAAGGACAAAGCTTTTTCTTGGAAGACTTCTGACCCCAGCAAAGCTTGGGATCGAGTCAAAGAGTTTCTGAAAGCATAGGAATGCAGAGGCTCGCCCTGCGCAGCTCAAGGTTCCAAAGTTGGGGCCGCACACTTCGGGGGACGTGCGCGGAAAAAGATCTGAGCTGCCACACTGGAGGATTTGAAATTGTGAATCATTGTTTTTCTTTCAGGGCGCTGGGCGCTCCCAAAATATACGGGCAGCATGGGCGAGCCTCATGCGCAGAATTTTCCGGTTGTTTTTTTAAACCAGAAATAGTTAGGTGTGAAAATTTTCGGTTGGGTGACGGGAACGGTGACGGTGGTGTGAAAATTGCGCAGCTTAATTTTGGATCAGGAAACGGGGTTTTCAAAAACAGGGCAACGTGGGGAACTTATAAGTTTTCTAAGTTAGATTGAAAATAGCGATGTGTAAAGAGCCCTAAGTTAGATATATCCTGCAGGTATAAGTCCATAACTCCAAAACCGCCTAAGCAGGGGCTGTCACATCTCGAAATTAGACATGTCAATGTCAGCCACTCATTTGACAACTGACACATTACAGCAAGCCAATCAAGCAGCTTCGTGGGAAGCATACTACCCTGCTCTATGTAAAGGTTCAAGAAGAAGCGATCCATGCTCATGTTCTTCAGAGGAGTCCGCTTCACTGCCTTTGGAATGTTGAGTTTTCACACAGTTCACATGTTGAGCAATATTGCTGACAATATGACACTACCATTTTAGTGAGTCACTGCACCCAAACAAGCATATCTGTGATCCAGTGCTCCAGAGCCAGCAGTCTTGATGCGATCACTCCGAATGCCCACCAAGGCAGCAATGCATTTCACAGACATGACAAGTCCCAAAAGAGACCAAGATCGATGTGTGGTCTTGCTGGCACGCACCACATCATAGATCTTAGTCCCAGGTTGCCCAAAGCAAACACTCACTGACCCCTGGTTTGTTTCATTTGCACAAAGTAGGTTTTAAGGACAGGACATAGGAATCTTGGGCTGGCTTTTCCAAAGACCAAAAGCATGACAGAAACTCCGCAAACTGTTCATGCAAATCTTTCATGCGGTGAAAACAATGTTCCCGATGACATTGGCAGCGATCTCTTGTATAGAGCTGTCCAACTCTATGGTGACACTGACCATTGTCGCTTTGCCTACAGAAAAGGCGTGAGAGCCCTGGGAGGCATATGTGTGGGATGAGGCCTCTTTGAAGTTGAACAAAAAACAAAGCTTAGCAGGGCTAAAACTGGAACCAGGGAACTTCAACCTTTCCAGTGGGTTTGCAAAGAATTTCCTCTTCGAACTGTCATAGTTCGGGCGTTTGAGAGGAGGAGAAGGCATCTTCTTGAAACTGGTCATGCTTCGGTTCTTGCACTGGAAGTCCTTTAGGTTCTTCACATTGAAATCCACAACAGAGTGGTCCTGCTGACCTCCTGTATCAGCATCATCTTTCAAAGATGCTAAAAAGGACCTGCGAGTGTCAGCCGGAATCGAGGAAGGCATCGATGATGATGCAGAAGCATCCACATGGCAAGATTCGGGTGCATCATCCTTTAAGGATCTAAGGAAGCCCCTTCTCAGGGCCATCTTGGTCCAGAGGCTTCATGGTCGGAGCGGCTAAAGTGATCCTCCCAAACCGCCCCTCAAATAAAACGAAACCTCCCTCAAATAAAACGAAAAGGACTTATATATAGATACGTGAAATATCAACGCATTTACGAGGCATGACGACAAACTTGTGCTGACACATATATTATATATATATATAGGTTTTGGTCTTCCGTGGGTCTGTTTCCGGGCGTTGGGGACGCCAAAGTAGCCAAGCACATGAAAGGAAACGCCAAGCTAATCCTGGTCTCTTGAGGCGGCTTCTTCGCTATCCACAGCCCATCCACGCACAACCAAAATGGGTCCAAATGGGTCCAGAATGCTGTGCCCAAACACTCCATGTATGGTATATTTACATACATTGGGATGGTTTGAGGGGTCAATGTAGGTATATATGACAGGCATGGAGTGTCTGGGGTGGGAATACATGGAGGCCAGGCACCTCTACTCACGTGAAAGGACGTTCGCGCGGAGCGAGCTCGCTCGCCACGAGCCAACGCCGGGGACCCATCCGTCGGTGCGGCGACGGACGAAGGTCTCCGCCAGGGCGCTCGAAGAGTTCCAATCCTCGTTGTTGAACAACAAGAGCCTGCACCGTTCGAGCCCCAGCACCCTTCTAACCCCGGCACCGTTCGAGCCAAGGCGCCATGCAAAGCTTTGCCGTAGACGCTAGCCAAGACAGGAAGCACAAGAAACCCAATGTGCATTGGCCAAAGGAAAGGGAGGAGGAGGAACGTTATGGGATGAGTTGGAAGGGGTGGGGGTGCAAGGGAAGTAGTAAGGTAAGGATTCCGGAGCATGAAGCTGCATTCACGCCTTACTCATCTTGCACCACATGCCAGCATAGAAAAGTAGACCCCCACTTAAAATGTAGTGGAAACCGTTTCTATCTATTTGGGGACCACTACACGCCTTACACATCACCACTTCTGCATTGCCCTCCACTTAGAGGAAAGAAATGCAGCCACCTTGCACAAAAGGTCACAAGAGTTCCGACCCCAGCGTATACCCAATCTTAAGGGAATAGGGCAGCCAGCTGGTACCAGAGGAGATAAGTGAGAAAACAAAACAGCCGGGCTATCAAAAAGAAGATTAATATATATCAAAAAGAAAATTTCTATATCCCATCAAAGAGAAAAATTAATTTGTATCAAAAAAATATCTCTCACAAAGAGCTGCGCCTGCCACTGCAAACCGCCTTGGCAGCGCTGCGCGATGTGAATCTGGACGTGCAGATTTCGTGGCGCGCGCAGCACGTTGAGCATCTCCAGTGGCAGATTTCGTGGCAGGAGCAGCACACTTTGTGCACTGGAACTGCAGATTTCGTGGCGGGCGCAGCACTTTGAGCACCTCTAGTAGCAGATTTCGTGGCAGGAGCGGCACTTTGTGCACTGGAACTGCAGATTTCGTGGCAAGCGCAGCACTTTGAGCACCTCCAGTAGCAGGTGTCATGGCAGGAGCGGCACTTTGCGCATTGGAAGTGCAGATTTCGTGGCAGGCACAGCACTTTGAGCGCCTCCATGTAGCAGGTTTCATGGCAGGAGCGGCACTTTGTACGCATCACTTTGAGCACCTTCAGTTGCAGGGCTCGTGGCAGGCGAAGCACTTTGTGCACTGGAACTGCAGATTTCATGGCAGGCGCAGCACTTCGTGAACCTCAAAGTGCAGATTGCGTGAACCTCCGTCTGCAAGCGCAGACTTCGTGGCAAGCGCAGCGATTTTGAACCTTGTAGTGCAGCTTGCGTGGCGTTTGTAAAGTTCTGTGGATCTGAAGACCTGTGAAAAGAGCTCTTGATATCTCTGGATCTGAACATCTTTCTACACCCTCTGCAAGTATAGAACTTAGATTTCAACACCTCCCTGGATCTCAAGACTCAAGACCTCTAAACCTCCATCTTTAGGTCTGTGGGTTTCTAGACTTCTACACCTGCAGATCCGTCTGGATCTCCAGGCCTCTGGATCTTTGTAGATGTAGACCTCTCTCTGCATCTCAACCGTGATCTGTCTGAATTTCACGATGGCTCACAAAACCACAAGACCTGTGGATGGCTCACAAAAAGTCTGCTATGTTGGAATGGCACCTTCCTCCTCTAAAGTTTATGCTGACAACAGGTCTGCTCCTGTAAATTTTGCCCTCGCATGGCTCACACAAAGTCTACTGCTCCTCTAAATTTTGCTCACAAGAGGTCTGCTACCTTGGCGTGGCACCTAAAGTTTAACCCCGGGTGGCTCACAAAAGGTCTGCTGCATTGGAATAGCAAGTTCTACCCTCGGGTTGCTCACAAAACGAAGGCCTGCTACGTTGGAATGGCAACTTCTTCCTCTAAGTTTTAACCTCGTTGGAATGGCTCCTTCCTCTTCAAAATTTTGCCCTCAGGTGGCTCACAAAAGGTTTGCTACTTGGAATGGCACTTTCTTGGTCTAAATTTTACCGTCAGGGTGGCTCACAAAAAAGGTGTGCTACGTCTGGCGATAAAAGGTCTGCTACGGTGCTTCACAGGATGTATGACCAGATTTAATCACCTTTAACGCATCTTGCCTCGAAAGTACAGACCCAAGGACCCGAAGACCAGGACGAAGGACCAGAGGACCAAGGGACCAGAGGACCAAGGAACCAGAGGACCAAGGGACCAGAGGACCAAGGGACCAGAGGGACCAAGGGACCAGGGGACCAAGGGACCAGGGAACCAGCAGACCAGGACCAAAGGAGTAGGGAAAACTTTATGTTTGATACGAATTAATGTTTTTTTGATAGGAATCAATTTTCTTTTTGATAGGAATTAATGTTCTTTTTGATAGGTATCCCAGAAAAAACGACGGAAAAAACACAATAAATGCTATATAGTATATTGTGCAAGTGCTCCAACAACCGGAGAAGAATGGAGAAATGAAAAAGGAGGCTGGACACTGACTCATTGAACGTAACTCTTGTTCCATGTTCAAAGGTATGGACACTGACCCTTTGGCCTGGCGGCCCGTGTCACATCTAATCTACGGTCTCCGTGTGTTGATGCCACAGGCCCGCAGGTTCTATACTTATATTGCTATTACCCAGACACTCCATGTATGGTATATTTACATACATTGGCGTGGTTTGAGGGGTCAATGTAGGCATATATGACAGACATGAAGTGTCTGGGTTATACTTATTGGGCTGGTGTCTCCCGCCTGCCGGCCGCCAAGTCCTCCTCCAAGTTTTGCACGAGCTTTTTCAGCTCGCCCAGGATGAAGAGCTTGGTGTCAGCGAAGACCGTGACACTGTTCCTGGAGGCGAGTGGTATGGATTGGCTGCTGGGAAAAGGCTAGAAACCGAAGACAGCGCCAGTAGTAAGTGCTGCTGCTAACTGCTAACTTTCCCCTAAGCAGTTACATACAAACTACAAGAAACAACAAGTACCTGGTTCTTCAAAGTGACCTTTTGATAACCTGGTTTGAGGTCACTTAAGCCTCCCTAAGGGTCACGTAGGAACCTTCAAAAGGTCACTTTGAAGAAGCTGGTATATAATGATATATAATGGGTCCTGCAGTTTGGCTGATCTGTTTGAAGGAAGTGCTGCACAGTTGCGATGAATGCCATGCCTACAAAGTTGGAAACACACCCAGTATCTTACAACATCTTACAACAAATGATTTTGATCCATGTAGCCAGCTTGATCTCACAACCACGTGGCCTCTGCGCAAGGTGCTGTGCTACCAATTGGGCCGCAACAGAGAGGCTGTCAGGTACCAAGATCATGCGTTGCTCCGCCTCGGATCTCATCAAAGGGCCCTCAACACTCCCTCGCCTGCACGGGGTTGCAAACCAATGCGATGGTTTAAACTCAAGCTCCAACTACATCCTGAAAGCGTAGACCCTCCAAACCTACCCAACACCTTCTCCAGCTTCCGTTCTCGGGAGGTAGCTGGAGTCCCAGGGTCATATAGGGCGGTCTATGAGTCCCTAAGAACTACACTTTCGAAGACTAACGTAGACCCTGACGTCCTGGCCCCCTGGAAGGGTGTTTTCCTCTACCATACCAACCGACGTGGTTTTCAGGGTCCATGTGGATCGTCTTCCAGGGTGTACTAGCTACAGCGACTCAAGTGCTTTCACCCCACTGGTGGGTCTAGTCGTAGCCAAGGTACTCCATGCAAAGCGCTCGCCGTGCGCCTTGGGCGGCCAGGTTGGTTCATCATGAAACAGTGAGCAATGCACACCAGTTCTGGAGGAGTGGCTTTTAGACCCCAAATCGGCGAATGAGCATGCACCCCTACTGATAGCTGCTACCCTTTTGGCACTGACGGTTTGCCGGTACAACTAAAAACGGCCAAACCTTCATCCCACCCTGCACATCTCATACACAGTTGAACCTATAAAGAATCCTATTTGGCTTCAAGAATCTCTGTTGTGAATCGCTGGGGCACTGGATACGCGGTCAGTCCAATGATGAGGTTTTTGTACAATAAGAACCGCTCAAGGCTCTTCTCAATTCCCAAATGGCGGTTTATATTAGATTTCAATAATACTATCAAACAACTATATAATTTCAATTAGAAACATAATATACATAATTAATATATATATATATTATATATATATATATTTATTTAGTATATTATATAACTACTTAATCTCTCCTATCATCTGATCGACACTTTTTTCCCTTCAGGTCAGCCACTTCTTTCCCTGACTCATTCACTCCACCACTCCACCACCCCTCTTCTTACGCCCGCCCGCTGCTTGTCCTCCACGCGGCAACCGTGCCGGCGCCTGAAGCAACGCCTGCACCATCGGCGGTTGCTCTGTGGGTCCGAAGTCGTGTGGGTCGCGGTGCCACAGAAGCGTCGGGCCCCAGCGCCCTCGGACGGAGGCCGCAAACCAAATGCTGGAAACATAGGTCGTAAACGTTGAGTTTGCTGTATGATTTCTTGATATAAGCAGGTTATAAACAAACGGGTGTTGCATTTACCGATGGGTAATTATATGTAGTGCTTGCACATATGTGCCTAGTCTTAATGTGTGTGCGTGTTTGTTTAACTTGATGGGTCTGATATGAGGATCGACACTGCAACCCGGTGCCTCAAGGGTTGGTTTGCAGATCACCGCCCAATAAAAGCATCTCCCCCAACCTGCGGCGTGTCTCAACATAGTAGCAAATGTTTCCAACTGGAACTGATGGCTTTACTGATGGCTCTTGCATGTTCTTGCAGGAAAAAACATAGAAGCATGCGCCATTTGGCCTTGCTGTTGCCACCAAGTCTCTCTCAGGCAAGGCCCGTAGGACATCATTCAACTCCCTTTGAACTCCAGGAGCGGATGGCCTCAGAATAGCACTTCAAGAACCGATACATATATATATATATATCAATATATCCCTCAAACAATCAGAACTTCTTAGGTCCAAAAGCACCATGGCCTTCCACCAGAAAACGCGCTGCCCCCGTGTCCACGTCCACGTCCACGTCCACGCGGTGGTCGGTCACGGTTGCGCCCTCCGGCGGGTGCGTCCGATGGTCGATGGGCCAAGCCGAGCGCCAAGGCCGCCGATGGCATTGCCAAGCCATCGGAGGTTTATGTTTTTCTTGGGATGCCCCCCGTTTTCTGTGAAACATGTGGGGCTCCCCTAGGAGCATGTGGGCATGTGTGGGCATGTGATGCTGAATTCGATCCAATTGGATCACATGTCTTTGCTTCGACCTTCGAACGTGCGTCCTACCGTAGTCCGTCCCAAACGAGTCGTCTGGAGAGGTCTTCCGACTCCAAGCGACAAACCCTCCAGCACCACCAGTGAGATGGAGCGCGTCAGCGTGTCCCCCATGTGCCTCAGCGAGGGTCGAAACATGACACCCATGGAGATGCAAGGGCTCTCACCCAATTACCTACAGAGGTTAAGTGACCTGAACTAGGAACCTACAGGGGTACCTATAGGATAGTCTATAGGGTTCTTCAACCTCTGCCAAACCTCTGCTGGTAATACTGGCCATCGGTGGTGTTCAATATGGACTGTAGGACCGTACCACAACAGTTCAGGGTCCGTTGCGAAGTCTCAGCAGCTGAAGTCTTCTCCATGCAGCGGTCCGTGTGACACATGTCCCTTGTTGAAAACGTTAATTGAAAAACAGTACGAGATCGATGTCATAGACCCACGATGGTGAAAACCGAAGACCTGGAGGTAAAGCTGGTATCCTGGGTGCCTCCTTGTGGCATGATGTTAGGAGTGTTACCTGCATGGCTATGGGCTGCCATGATGCACATCACAAGTTACCCCAGCCATTTCATGAAGGGATTGGCTTACAGGAGCGTATAGAGTGCACAAAACAAGAGTGGTTCATTCACGAGTTGAAGTCGGCCTTCAGTTGAAGGCCTGATTACTGATTCACCTGTCCAATATCTGTGCGCACCAACGACAACAACAAAACCACCACCACCACAACCACCACCACCAACAACAAAAATAACAAGAACAAGAACAAGGACAACAACAATGAAGGATTCTTGGCATGGAGTTTGCTGGCTAAAAGCTTCCACTCCAACAGTAGGGGCAGCGGTGCCTAGTCGATCCAACGAGCGTTGCCTCGAGTTCTCCGACGTGTCTCATCGACGTGGAATCGCGGCTGGCCGGAAAGACCATGTTCCTCTACAAACAGGTGGAGTTGACAGCGCGGGTGGACAGCGCGGGATGCCGCCATGTATACGGCGGTGTTCACTTTGTTCGCCAATGTAAGTAGGTGAGCAGGTGCTACACGACATGTGGATGGTGATCACATCCGTGATACGTCGACATGGAGGAACCACACACGCACCATCGTCTCGCTTAGTCCACCGGTGCCACCAGGTGCCATCAAAGTGGCGCAAACTTTTGCAGGACATATCGGCAAGAGCCAGCGATCGTCCTTGGTGAGCCGACCGCCATGCATTGAAGCTGATATATCCCTAGGGCTCCTGGCCCATCTCCTCAGGTTCGGTGGTATTCGACCCCCCTGGCACCCACCCCTGTCCCATCTTCGAAACGGAGGTGGGCCAGGAGCCCTAGGGTATGTTGGCTGGGGCGGGCTCGGGGAGACTGGCCGAACCACGGAGCAGTGTGGAGCTCGCGGCCGTGAGCGAAAGCTGAGATTCAGCGACATTCAACGGCCCTGAGAATCAGAAGTCCTATAGGAAAGGACTCAAGAGAGGTCGAGTCAATATGGCCGAAGGTCTTGGAAAATTCATGTAACTAATTCCCTGATGACCTTGTTCCACTAAAACAAATCAACAGATTCTACAGACTGCAGGCCGATGCTTGCAACATGCCTAGCTGTAGCTGTAGCTGAGAGAAAGGATCAGACCCATTTCAGAAGTTGGCGCAACCGAGTTGTTTCATACGAAAAAGTGGTCCATCTGAGAGGGGGCATGGACTAACTCGGTGGATGCTCTAGAGGCAGGACGCGGATGGCGAGGCACAAAGTCATTCTGCAATCCCCATGTCCCAGACACTCCATGGGACTGCCATATATGCCGCCCCATTGACCCCCCAAAACCACCCCACTGTAGGCAAATATGGCATACATGGAGTGTTTGGGTGTTGTTGTGAGGCTTCGGGCTGTTGTGAGGGAAAAAGAACGAGGACGCCAACGAAGAAAAACCCTTGGCATGTTGAAGGATCTCCTTTGAAAGGCGCTTTGGTCATAGAAACTGGTCTTGCGGCACTGTGTTGAATGTGAAAGCGAGTCAAAGTGACAAAACTGATGCACCCCATGAAGTGCAAAGAGGGTGGCTTAAAGAACGGCGACTTGTGGAGGAGGGAAGCTAAACAGCAGCCAGTTGATCAACTTGGGACAAAGCTGCACCCAAGCATCACCCATTCCAATGGTCTCTTGCGGCTGACCCACAGGCTCCAGTCCATGAGATATGTTGTTCCAATGTTTTTGTATATGTTTTTTCGTGAGATGAGATGTTTCTGTGGATGTCTTCCATCAACAGTCACCAAATACTCCATTAAACTGGCAACCACAGAACCACGCCAGCTATTAGGTGGTCTTCTACTTCTATTGGGTGGTCTATAAGTCGAACCATCCCCATCCATGCCGCAGATCTCGCACCGAGGCACCGATGCCGCACACGGCTGAGATGCTGCCGGGCCAATTCATCGCCCTCCGCCGATCGGTACAGGCTTCGCAGCCTGGACCGGCGGCGGGACCGAAAACGCGGCCGGAAGGGTCCAAGCCCGGCCGGGCTGGTTTTCACCCATTTTATGGACTGGTTTTAACATGCTTTATGGGACAAGCCCCCGGATATATTATATGGGCTTTAAGATGTTATATATAACCCCATATATATATATACAATGTATTCAATGTATTCTGTCTCAGGGGTCTTTGGGGGTCTCCCTGTTACACGCCACATGTGACCGCCTGCTGTAGGATTTAGTGACTTTTGCTAGCCACAATCCACCAAAGAAGCACATCATCTTTGTCGCACAGGAGTTTGCAGACCAGATTTTACATGGACCGAACAGGTTGAATTTCAATACTTCTAACCTTCCTTGTCCTTCAGTAGGGACACCAACCATAACCGCGCTCTTCCATCTTCCGGGCCTCTCTCTGGCAAAGGGACCCAGCAGCAGCACACGCTCCTGTGGCCACAGGAGCTTTTGGTCCAAATGCTGTGCGATGAGCAGCGCCAAGAGTGACAAGCGTTCTGCCTGGACCAAGCCACGGGAACCCCGGCGCAAGAAAAACAGCTCCAGGAGTCACAAAGGGGTGGTGTTGAGTCACAAAGGATCCCATGGAACCTGAGAATTCACCGGTGGTTTGGACATGTTTGGACCATTTTCCGAAGACCAACCCGACGTGGTTTTGGGATTCCTCCTTTAGGATTCTGAGGGATGAATTTCTCACTTGTGGTTTTCAAGACCACGCAAGGATACGCAAGGTACAATAAAGAGCTGATGTCATCATCAACAGTAGGTAGATGTCACAACCCACTCATCCAGTGGGTGGTGGGTGTGCATAAACCCATTCAACAAAATCTCCGGCTTTGTGCGATGCGATTCCACGCAATCTGTCACCCTACCACTGAACCCAAAGCAGCGCATGGAATCCTAAGATTCTGCCCACTCCAACACCGATGAGACCCCAAACACTTGCTAGTAATCGTGTCTGTTTGCAAAAACCACCTTTGTCTGGGTGACAAAAACGCGCGAAAACGCTGGCCCTGCCCTGTTCAATTGAAGGGTTTTCAACGAAAACGTCACAGAATGGTATTCGCTGCTTGGAGAGCGTTTCAGGGAAGCATTTGTTACTCGCCGCTGGTTTGCTTAAAACACTTTACTCAACGTCGGACTGTCAAAAGAGTCTCGGGCTCAAAAAAGGTCAGAAGAAAATCACGTCAAAATCCAATTGCAGTTTGAGGGGTAGCTAGGAGCAACCCAAGTGGCCGCACCAAGACCCAGTTCCATGAACCCACCTGAACCCACAGTCAGGCTATCACTTGGTCCTGCGAGTCCTGCTAATGCAACAATTCCATGTCTGAGTGATGTTTTTCATGGTTTCATGCCCCCATGTCCTGGTTCAATACATATGATATGAGTGTCCCTAGTCCCTCTAATCCTGGTGATTTTTCTTGGTGTGTCGTTCTCCGCGCAGTCGGACGTCGTTCTCCGTGTCCGATGTCCCCGCAGCCCCCGCCCTGGGCATGGTGCCAAGGATGACTAGGTCTTGTCTCGCCCCAGTCCTCAGGAACCACATCCAGTGGTCATGTTTGTTGACGTGTTGGTCGCCGGATGGAAACCACACCCGGATTTTTGCCAGGATGCAACTCAGCAACTGATTAATCGAAAAGCACACTTGATTGAACAGCCACGACACGACACGTATTTGCCCGGGGGTCATGGATGCGCTGGCGACGGCAAACGCTGCAGTGGCGAATGCAGAGCTGGATTGAAGTCTCCAAGACTTCAACTGGCCAAACCTTGGTTCTCAGAACTTCATGAGAGGCCGCCCAACTCGACCCCTACCACGGATATGGCCTCACGCCCTGGGCAGAAGGGGGGGTTATAGCGTCTATCGTTCTTTGGACCTTCACGATTTCCACGCCTCGCGGCAGCGCAAATCAAAAATTACCTTTGCTGAACAAATGGTTTGCATATCTCAAGCCCTGCTCTGGCCAACGTCATGTGCCTCTTGGGACCTATGAATCTCTGTGACTCATCTCCAGCTCAGAAGCTTTCGTGTCTCCGTACATCTTGTGACGACCAAAATGTAGCTCATCATGTCTCTGTCAGGATCCGTGGAACCAAGATTTCTAATTATACTGAAAAAGCACGACGGCCCACCTTTTTCCGAGTGCCGCCTTGGGCCGTGACCGGCTGAAACCGACACTAGCCCCCTATGGTGCCAGTGCCTTCTTGCGGCGGTAAGTGCGCTTTCGCACTGCCGCATCAGCTCTCAGCCTCTTGGCCTCGTCGGTGTCCTTCAAGGCCCAGGTGCCATTCTCCATGACCTTCACCAGCTTGTTGTTCCCGACGAGCTTTGTCAAGTCGTCGGCAAGGATCTCCTCTCCGGGGACCCATCGCACCAAGCGAGAACCACCGTCCTCTTGCAGCGCCTGCCGCATTGATGCGACATCAATCGCCAACCTCTTGTCTTCTCCGAGTGAAGTTCCATTCAACAGGTCATACCCGGTCTTGGAGTCCATCACGGCCACCTGCCTCCACTTCGAAACCGACGAGAGCCAATGCTTGAAGGAGAATCCCTTCTCCAAGGCTTCGGCCATCAAGGCTCTCAGGAAGTCTGCTTCTTCCATTGCCGTAGCCGCTTGAGACACCTCCGCGGCCAACGAAGACCTGACCACCCTCTTCAACAGGCCCGAGTGAAAAGCCAGGACATTCACATTGGCCTCACCGTCCAGGATCTTTGGGTTTGCCACCAGCATCACCATCCCACCTTGAGAACGCCCCTTTGGCATCCCTCCGAACGAAGCGTCCGAAACCGCTAGAACCACTAGGTCGTCGACGGGGCATCCAAGGTGCTTGAACACATGTACATGAGGTTCACGTGCTCGATCAACCAAGATCTTCAGCTCCAGCAGCGCCTCCGGGTCATTCGTGCCAGCTAATTGCTGAATCCTGGAACATCCATATAGGAGGTCTGCCCGAAGTTGCCTTGCCAACCAGCTCAGCTGTCCGATGATAGTGCCAATCCAAGCCCGTTCATTTGGCATCAACGGTTGGCGACTCTGTGGGTTTGCTCGCTGAGGAGGATCTTTGACCTTCTTGGAGTACTCGTTCATCTGAAGAGTGATCGAGTAATCGGCATTCTGCCTCTCCCATCGTCCACAGAACTTAGTGTCCTCTTGAGGGTGCACCCAGTCGCCAAAAGTGAACAGGTTCTTCAACTTCGGCCAGAGCTGTTCCTCTGCTTCCTCACTGCTGATGAATCGCACGTCATCCACATGCACTGCCAGCATCGCACACAGATGCCCTTCAGGATCATAAAAGGCGAACACCCCTGGAGCCAAGTGCAGCTCTTTGCCTCCAACGCCAGCCACATCTCTGCTGAACCGCTGATACCAAAGTCTTGGACTCTCAGCCAGGCCAAAACCAGCCTTCTTCATCCTGAACATATCCGTTCGTGCCCCAGGCGGAACCTTGGTCATCAAGAACTGGCGCACAAACAAAGGGTAGTTCTTGGGGGACTGGACAAAGACTCTCCGGCCCTCTGGAAGATAATCCCCTTGAAGGAAGGCGGCCGAGATGTCAGCAAAATACATGCGCCATCGAAGTTGGGCGGCTAGAAAGCACACGAAGTTGTGCGCAACCAGACTGGCTGTGGGAGCATCGGTAGCATAGTCACCAGCACGTTGATCACGATGGCCAGCAATGACCAGCCTTGCTTTGAGCTTGGCCAGCTCCAAATCCGCCTCTGTAGGTCGAGTGTTTTTGGGGTCTGCTTTGTTGACTAGCACGAACCTGCTCGGCAACACTTCCGACTCATGGACCGTCTCTTCAGGCATCACAGGAGCTAAAGCATCGTGCCTGAAGTAGATGTCAAGCGCCTCAATGATGGGCTCCTCAAAGGCTTTCTGCCAGCTCGGTGAGAGTTGACTCCACTGGAGTTCCAGCCTCACCTTCCCGGTTTCAGGCTTGTCCATGTCAGGCTCTGGGACCAGCGGCAAATGCTCCATGGAGCACAGTTCCAATTGCCCTCGGTGTGGAGGATGAGCCGTAGGAGGTGCCAACGAGGCTGTGGCCTCGAATGCCTGAAAGCACTCCAGCACATGTAAAGCCACTTCCAGACGTGTTGCCGCCTGTGAAGTGGCGTCCATCGACGGGTCGAAGAAGTTCGCGGCCTGACCCTCCGTCACCAGCACTTGGTATGCCGCATTCGACCGTAGATGCCGCCGCAAAGGTCTTCGACCGCTGCACGCCCCTGTAGCCACGTCGCCAGGATTGGATGATCCTTCACCGGGTCCATAGTCACGAACCTGGTCACACCCCTCCAAATCTGGTTCATGTGCACTGAAGCATTCCAGCCCTTCCAGAAGATGTTATCCACCAGGTATTCCTTGGACGCTTGTGGTGTGAGATACCCCACTTGCGTAGCCCGTAGTCCTTGTAGACCAGGTACTCCTGGAGGTAGTGGCTGTCCATCCTGCTCGTGTTCCTCGTCAGGGACAAAACCTGGGACAAACATGTAGTGCCGAGGCTGAAGGTGTACCCTCCACAGTTCACGTTGTGAGGGCGCGTGAAGCCAATAGTCCTGTTCACCACTCAGCCTCAACAACATCTCACCGGGCAGGTTAGCCTCCATGTAGTCACTCAGATCATCCAACACCTGTGCTCGGCCAGGGGCTTTCTTGTAGACCTCAATGATCTCATTCCGAGTGAGCGGTCTTCTCAGACGTCCAGGGACATCCCCCAGCATCCTCCACTTAGCCACCGGCACCCTGGCTCTGATGGATGGCGTCGGATTCCGCCTCCGAATTCCAATCCTCCTCTCTCCATCCGGGCGCCAGTCCGCCTCCAAGACATCATAGTCAGCGTGGATGGGATGGCACTCTCGGAGCATGTCAACGACATACATGTCGTGTGTGACTTCATGGGGATTGCCCTGATCATCATAGACACTCGGCACCGCAAAGAGGTCGACTTCAATGAACGGTGAGTCAACTGATGGTGCCGTCATATTCGTGTCGTCGGAGTAGGGGCTGTACATGGGATCAGCACTATTCGGAACTTCAGATTCACCCCCTTCAGGTCTCCTTTTTCTCAAGCTTGGTCTTCATCTTCTTCAGGTGCTCCTGTGTCGACTTGAATGCCGTCTCATAGAAGTCACGCTTCTGTCTCACCGATGCCAAAGCAGGATCCACCGCTGAAGATGATGCCACCGTCGCTCGATGAACTCCATCGGAGGATATCGCGGGTCAGGAGGTGCTGGTGCATTGGCAACCTCACGTGGTTGTCCCTCCTCTGCAATCTCCACATTGACCCTGCCCGACTGGAGCTGCTTCATCAGATCTTGCAAAGCTTCCTTCGTCACCTTGGTGGACTCGACCTCGTCTCCCGTGGCGAGCCGGATATGCTCAAGAGGTAGACCGCGTAGTTTGTGTCTGTAGCGAATCCACACTCGCTTCACAGCTCCGTCGGACCTTTCAACTGCTACGACGACTGCCGGACCAATCCACGAAATGTGGTCTTGAAGTCTTCGCGCCAATCCGCGGCGACTCACCGGTGGCTCATAGAACATCACCATGGAGCCCTCCACCAACAATTCCAACCTTGGCAATCTTGCCCTGGAACCGGCAGCACGTTTCAGAGCATCGCTTGCCTCCAACCATTGGAATGCCTCCGTAGCTGCCCGGCGAATGGAGCTTGCTCGATGAATAGCCTCCTCCATGGTCTGCGGATTGGAGATCTGGAACTTGAACTGTCCGGCGATGGCCTCCATCAGGTTTCCAGGAAGACTCATCTCACGGCCAAAGATCAGCTGGATGGGTGAGAAGCCTGACACCCTGGACTGCAAATTTCGCGCAGCCACTGCAGCCGCCACGGCCGTTTGCACCTCCTCCAAGCCAATCACCGTCTTCTCCTTGATGATCTTCATCACCATCAACTTCAAGACGGCCCCATGTCATGGTACACACTGAATGTTCGAAGGATGCCCTCGACTACACCTTGGAATTCAGGACCTTGATCCGTCATGAGGACATTCGGCGCACCAAAGTCACCAAAGGCTCTGATCCAACCATCTCTCAAAAGCGACACCGTGGATTGCGCCGAGGCATCCACTGAAACAATCGCCATCTGGTACAGAGAAAAGGCGTCCACCAGGTGCGTCACTGCAAACTTGGTCGCCTTGGCATCCCAAACATAGAAGGTATCTGAACAAACCCGGACATTGAAGCTCATCGGACGAGCATAGGCAGATTTCGGGGTAGTATGAGGTGCTGTCACTTGCCGACATATTTGACACTCCATGTCCTTTATTGCTTGAAGGACCACAGTTTTGGCACCATTTTGTGACATCATCCGTGCCAACTTGTCGTTGCTGATGTGCCCCAGTGCAACATGTAGGTGTGCCAAAGTTGAACGCACCTTCTTGCCAAGACCACTTGACGCCCCAAGGAAGGAGATGTAGTCGTAGCGGTGCAGTCCATCCACCGCCGCCATCTGCTGTCGAAGTTGCCCTTCAGCAGTCGGTTCAATCTCCACTGGAACTGCTTCCCAAATCCTGGTGTCCGGTGTCGGTTGATGTAACTCAATCCTCACGTGTGAGTTTTCCTCCTTCAAGGCCTCCAAACCATCCAGCAACCAATCACAGAACCCCTCCGGCCATTGAGCAGCCAGTGTAGACCTCTTCACTGCAGTCATCTTTCCTTTCTCATCATCCCAAACTGTCACCGAGCCTTCAATGGGTTGATGATCACCTGGCTGACACTGGCATAACCGGGCCGGGAACATCTCCGTGGTG